TCCGACAATGCGCTCGCTATTGTTGGTCGTGCTTTCGACGCTGGCCGTGCTCCTAGCAGCCACCGAAGCTGTCTCGCCCAACGCTCCCAACCTCGAAGCCGTGACGAAGAATCGGAAGTACACCCTGACGTCTAAAATTCAACCATCGCCGGCTGAATACTCCGTCAATGAAAAGAGAAACTTGCGGACTGACAGCGGAAACATGGGCATGGAAGCTTTCAAGACAGACGATGAAGAGCGACTCTCTATCTCAACTATTGTGGAGAAAATAAAGGCCTTTCTCTATGGATTGAAGATCGGGTTTTCTCCTAAAACAGAGTCCAAGCTGGTGCTGCGCTTCGAGGAAAAGTTTTTTACCAAGATTTACAATGCCAAAGAGACGCCTGAAAGCCTAAGAGCCAAGTATATGGGTAGGAGAGGCAATGCCTTTTTCGAGAGATTCAATGCCTGGTACAAGAAAAAGGTTGCTGCAAACGAATTGGCGCCCAATTGAGGATGACTATACAAGAACATTTTTTTTTTTTACTGCGCGATCAATATTGCCGGGGAAAATTGCGGCAAACATGTTTTCTTCGATTGTGTATACCACGTCACAGAATTGCAGCCCCACGATGTTCATACAAGTCGAGCGATTTGATCAACAGACAACATAGCAGAGTAGTTAAAAAAAAAAAAAAAGAAAAAGAAATGTAACACGTTGTTATCATTCACCTCCCGCAGCTTAAGAAAGGCGATCCACATGTGTGAAGGGGTGCAATAAGTTCCTGATGTAACTTGCGAATCGGACATTATAGCGCAGACAACTCGGTATACGTACCAGAAAATAAGTCTAACACACATTTTACCTTCGACCCTTGCCTTTTTCTTGTGCTGAAAAATACTCACTCGGACCTGGGAAAACCAAAAATGGCCATCAGTGTCGGACGGATCATTCTAATTGTTAACTAATTACTCACATCACGACGCAAGCTTTATAGTTCTGGTAATCACAAATTAAGGGTATCCTTAACTTGCCTACTCTAACGGGATCCTACAAACGTTTCATTAAAAATGATCACGGGCGGCGAAAGGAGACAATTGAACCACGAGATGTGATGCGTTAAATACTCCCATGTTGGCATGGAGATTATGGTAAGGTTTTATCCTATTTAGGTCCTACGGGCCATAATGGGACCAACCAAAAAGCACGATGTATTTAAAGACGACCACGCATCTCAAACTGATCCAAAAGTGTACAACAACGAAACATGTCAAAACGAGCGACTGTAAATCGTGATAATTCTTATAATAGGATACAGGAAAACTTGATTTATTAAATTAAAAAGCCAAGTGTTTATACTTCAGGAAAACATTTTAACCAATAACCACTAGACGTTTTAAACCCCGACGTATCTGCTTCATATAAGTCGCATGTTTAATGTAAAGTAGGCGTCCATTACAAAATAAACCTCCTTAAAATATATTAATTTAATTTCAAAACATAATAAAACATTTTAGCATAATGTTTTTTTGTGCTTAACTCCCGGTTAAGTTACGAAAGTGTCTGCATGGACGCGGACAGAGAGCTCTTCATCCAGCAGCTCGTGGCGGCGTTGCAGGAGAACACGGCGCTGGCCGGTGGCGTTCCCTCTCTCTCCCCACGTTCTCCTGGTGCTGCTGATGGCGGTTCTAGCTCTGACAGCTCAACAGAGGGCGAGAAATCTCCGCAACAGTACACTGGGCTCTTCCTGTCCGAGTCCTACTCAACCCTCAGTGGAAATACCGAGCGACTGGCGCGAAATGCGTACAAGCAACTGCAGTTCGACTTTCCACAGCTTCAAGAGGCGTCAATCAATGCACTCGCGGAGCTCTACAGACGCGTATCAGCTGAGAAGTCGACGCAACTTGTAGCTGCCGAGATTCCAATTACTGCCACATTACTGGACGGTGTGGCATTCCTGAACGACCAGAGCCCGTCCTATGGCTCAAATGCAACACAAACACCTCGCAGCTCGGAAAGCAGTGCGCTACTAGCAGCGTCGCTGTTTCTGCTGGTCTTCCGCTTATGCTTGGAGTCGCCAGAGGACCCACGAGTGGAAAAACTGCTGTCATCACTGGAGATCAAACGATCGCAACAACAGACCAGAAAAACCGAAACTTCTAGCAATAAACCAGTACAGGAGGAAGCAGAAAGCGAGCTTGAGGAGAAGTATGCGGCCCAGGAAGACCCAGACGACTTGAGTCAAGTATACGAAGGACAGTTACCAGAGCCTCAAACTCATGTTATCCCCATGTGGAACCATCAGACGTCAGCTATATCGAGTACTTTAAGGATCGATAAACTCCGATATCTGGTGTCATGCACGTTCTCCTCATCTTTTGAAGGTGTATCCATGGAGAAGTGGGAGCAGTGGCGTCTGGAGGACGAACTCGTTGTCATCATGCGACTTCTAGTCGGTCACCCACCTGAAAACGACGACAAGATCGATGAAACAGAGAAAGACAAGCGCAATACCTTACCTGCCACACTTTATGGTCCTATTGGAGAGTGGAGCAGGTACCTGTACGTGCTACGAGACCGAGTTCTGCGCTTCCCAGGCGCCAGTCGCAACGCTTTATGGCGCCTGAAAGAGCTGATAGAATTCCTCCAGAGACACCAAACTGCAGCGAATCCGCATCACGGTATCCAGCCGCAACATTTGTTGTATCGCGTGCTGGCGGAGCTGGCAATTTCTCGAGAATTCCATCAAAGTGGCGCTCAGCGTGCACAACAAGGTCTGTCGCTGGTTATCCAAGAACTATTGCCATTCATCACGCAGGAGATTCATCAACTTGTACAGGTATCAAGTGCTGCAGAGGCCGATGACGGTGACGAGCTGGTTGTTGTGTTTCTGCAGCTGCTGCACTTCATGCTCTTTGCATCATCCAACGCACGTACGACCACCGAGAAACTTCACGAAAGCGGCATGTTGCGAACTCTCCTCATGCTTCTACCAGCATCTGATACTGACAAGACGCAAGCTGTGTATCTGGAGAAACGCTGGCTCCCAGCACTGCTGCGTCTTCTGGGCGAGTGTGCGCTGTGGCATGCTGGCTTTGCTGTGTACATTTCTCGAGTCCCGAAGTTCGTTAAACTACTTCCGACATTGAGGGAGCCATTTGTGGCTGAAGAACTGGTTCTCGGTCTTGCATTTCACCAGCATCAAGTGGCCATTTCGGTGAAGATGGACATTTGGGGGACATTTGTGTCCGAGTCATTATTCCCGCTAAAGTGCGAATCGTATCTTGATGCGATGAAGAAGGTAAGCAGACAATTAGTGGGGGTCGAATGGGTTTACTCTAACGTGTTTGTTATTGATGATAGCTTCAGGACGCCGTATTTGTATTGGACTGCTTGGAGAAGGCGCTTGTAGCGTTACGACCTGCGATGCAGAAGGAGCTACAGCGCAGTTTACAGCCGATCTACATTGGTTTTGCGCGGTCGTTCGAGTATCCAACGTTTGCTGCTGCGGAGGCAGCTCGACAGCAGGAAATCGCGCAGCAAGCGTTGAGTTTAAAGGAGGAGGATGACAAGGAGAAGAAGGAGGAAGATCGTGGTCAAGCGGAGGCGCTGCAGTTTACGGCGCTGAGGAATAAACTGCGACAGAGCGTCAAGTCGCTATTGTCTGCGCTGTCATCGGGCTTCGTCGGTGGTCGCGCGTCTTCCAAGTTAGACTGAGAATTAGATCAAGATGGCTACAGTTTTGTTAACTCGCTAGAAAACGTGTCCATTTCTATTTCAATGTGATCCCAGCCAATTAGAATTCACGGATACTGTAATTTCAGTAGTCGACCTGTCCACTTCAACAGTTGCGCTCTATTCTGATGGGTCCATTTTCATCAGGAAAGTTTTCTATTAGGTGACATACTGGATAACCTGAGATTCTGGTTGTATTTGTACGGTAAGGCCAACTTACATGTAAGGCCAAGTCTCTGAGCCAGAAACTCTGGCCAACGCTTGTTGCCTTAGGTAACCATCGCCAGCAACCAAAGGCGCGTTGGTACCGCTGGCAGCTACCACTGTTAGTGTCGAGCTTTTGGTGAGACCTGCAAGGTTCACGCTTTCACGCAAGCCAAAGAACGTTGCACAAACGTGATGGAAGGTCTCAATACTCAGTGACACGCGTGATATTTTCTAATTCCTTGTCCGGTGCTGGCTTCAATTAAAAATTCAAAGTTACTTGCCTTATCAGGTTGGGCGCTTTAGTTGCAAGCGAGGAATCAGTGATACGTGGCAGGTGCATTGCATTTCTCATTAAATAATTACGCTCAGAAGCTTCCAGTCCTGCTAGATAATCGATTCTACATACTCATACATGCTACAAGCTAGCGCGGTGACGCAAACCCCATACTTAGAACAAACACTCGAGCAGATCCTTCAAGTCCTGGTCCGAGAGAGCTTGTGGGTCCGTCGGCGTGTTCAGGAAGGAGAACTGTTGCAACTGCTCATCAACGGGAGCCAGGAACATCATCATGTCGTAGTCCAGGACGGGGAACTCATCGCAAGGCGACTGCATGGCCATAGTGGGCGACACAACCTTGACTGTCTGTTGCTTGGTTTGCTGATAATGCTGTTGACGCGAGCTGCGCGCGTTTGCCGGGAGCGGCACCGAGCGGTGCTGTGTCTTCATATGTCTCGTGAGGTTACCGGCCGTACTGAACGTCTTGCCGCAGCCTTCAACGACGCACGTGTGGATGGCGTTGCCATTGTGCACCTTTTGGTGCTTGGCCAGCATGTCCTTGCTCGTGAAGATGCGCGTGCAGCCAGCCACGGGGCATTCCATCCTTTGCAGCGAGTGTAGACGTTTGTGACGCGCCAGGTTACCGGACGTGCTGAAACGTTTGCCACACGATTGGATAGGGCATTGATGAGGCTGCTCACCCGTGTGCGTCTTCATGTGCTCATGCAGTGTAAATTTGCGGTGGAATCGACCACCGCACATCGGTACGGGGCACGCGAACGGCCGGTCCTGGTGCGGGTCGCGGATACGTGGCTGGCTCATCATATTGGTGGGACGGATGGCGGTGCTTGCAGGCATTGACGATGTGGTACTGGTAAAGCGGTTGAAGGCGCGCTTCAAATCGAAAAGTGAGTTGAGACTCTCAAACCTTCAGAGCAGCTCCGGTCGGTGTCAGGCTCGGACATACGGCGCCGTGATGGACCCTATCCACGCGCTGCAAAAAAGCTCGAGCTTGTCAGCGCATCTAAAACTGGATCGTCTCTTGTCCTGAGAGCAGTGTGGAGGACACATCAAAAGATAGCATTGAGCAATACGGCGATCGCCGAAGCCACCTCAACGTCGTGTTCTGCGTCGCGAACGAGACGTCCAAGGCGCGACTAGTGCTCTTGAATCCAACATTCTTGAAGGATTTTGCTGCAGTTTGGCACTGCATTGGTTCTCCAAGCAGAGATCATTTAACCAACACTAGAAGCCTGTATGAACAGCAGAAATCGCATCGTAAGTGGAATGAACTGTACTCGGCTCTTTTGACATGTTGGAAGAATAGCATGTCGCGGTGGTATCCGTCCAACTCTCTCCTTCGAGCAACGTGACGGCAAACCGCAACGGCAACAACACAACGTCCTCAACTTGCAGGAATCCACCGAGTTGCTCCTCCCGATTGCGATCTTCTGTCGAGTCCTGCGTAAATCATGTCAATGTTCCAAAATTGGTTGGTGCATTGGTGAGACCATCGAAATCGCGACACGAGGCATGTGGTGCACCTCGAAAAAACTTAAATTCATACTGCCAGCACCTTGCCCATTCATGTACACGCGAAACGCAGCTCTAAGCGAGCTCTTGGTCAACATTGGATGGCATATGCTGCCGCATAAGTATAGCTTCGCCGTCTGGCAAGGTCTGCAAAATTATCGCGGTATACAGATTGAATATGGGCAGTTTACTGCACGCAGGTTCGCACAAAATGCCCGTAATCTGCAGCACGCACCAAAAATTGAGTGTCGACCATTACGGTCACCCCAGAGCAGACAGCCTGGGGTTCGCCAAAGCAAAACAGCGCTCGCTGGGCAGATATCCTGGTCTACACAGATTCTAACGCGAACAGCGCCACAGAGAGAGCGGAAATCAATGTCCTACGCATTGTCATTCCTCCGTTCGTAACAGCACAACCTTCCAGCTGTCGGTCTCCCAAGATCAAATAGATGTAGCTGGTTGTCCGACGTGCGTGCCCAAACACACTTGCTTGGCTGGCACGTTGAAGCTGCACAAGCTCCGCTTGGTGAGATTGCGGCTGCTCGCATTGGCTTTGCGCTCCAAACACCGAGCAGAGAAAGACTCACATGCGGTGGCACCATCCTCAACGCTTCAGTCCGTTTGAGGGACGAACGCGAAGCGAACGCTGAACTCCATGGAAGCGTTCAGCAGAATCTCAGACTCCAACAGCACGACAATAAAGCCACACTGCGTATGGAGCGTGGGTCTCGACAGTGAGCCACCACTTGACGTGTCTCGATGTTTTCTACTGATTTCGCGGCACTTGGGCCGGGCAAAAATACCGTGGTACCCCGTGATAAGACCCATAATCAGAGCTATGAGAGCTGGGACTTCGAAAACAAGGCTTGTTGATCGTTGCAAGCACGTCACTGTGGCTAAGACGACGTATAGTGCCGTCGCTGCGCTGATCAAGCTCGGGTAGGAATTCAAGTGCGTCGTGTTCTGGAATATGTACCTGGCTGTTTACTGCGAATAAAACAGCCTGTCTGACAGAGGGTCCTTCTCTGGTCTTGCACTTCAAACTGCATCGGGTACCGGAATATGTACACTGCGTTTACCCGATCCCGGCCGCATGGAATTTCACGCTGCGAGAGCCATCTGCGCTGCGACTTGCAACTGGTGCACCAGCAGGACCTCGCAGATTGCTACTCGACAGCAGGCGAAGCGAACGTGATCCTTGTGTCGGCGGCGATCAAGTTTGTAGCCATGTGTCGGTGGTCGTCAGTTTGTTACCGGTATTATGGGATCAGAGACAGGTCGAAACGTCGTAAGAAAGATCGCGAGTGCGTGTTTATTGCACTGCGTGCACATCGGGCGTGTTGGACGCTGTTGCACCAACCAGCAAGCAAACAAGAAGAGATGAATGCGATACTCGTTGTCCCGAACTATTGGAATATCTGGTCAGGGCTGGCTGGATGTCCGCGGCTGTCCACTTTTGAGGGGGATCTACTGCTGGATGTAGCCTACTGGAAGCTGCGGGTGATGAATGTTACATGTACTTAACCCTGCCGTTTGATAGACTAGTGACGGCTCTCACGGTACGTCCTACTGTAGACAATAACGCGTAGTGGTGATTCATCCCGCGCTACTTTATCTTAACGTATCGTGGTGATGACTTCCTCTTTAGAAGCTGCTGAATGCCGTACTGCCACTGCCACTATTTCGCGTAGCCATCTCATTTGTCTTTGCAGCTCCGTCAAAAGCGGCAATGTAGCCAATTGCAGCCTCCAGCATCGTAGCATAATATCCAGTCTCTCCAATCATCAACGCGGTAATCATCGTCTCGCTGATCAAATGACGAGCCACGATTACACTTCGCAGTTTACAGCGTGCCAATACAAATATAAAAATCGGCAGGAAATCGTCTGCAGCCATCGGCGTCGGCTGCACAGACTTCCCCTTCCTGTCAGCTTTGAAGCCATGTTCTCTCGCGTGGGTCTCGTAAATACAGCGAGCCACTTCCACGAGGACTGCGGCCTTCTCTGACGGCAGCGAATAATTATCCATCGCGTTAAGTAAAGACACAGCAGACTTCCACTCAGTCGGAGACTGATGTGATGGCTGGATCTCAAGAAAACTCTGCGGCTGCGCAGCTACGAGTGCTCGAAGGCGTTCAAAACGTTCCTCTTCTTCCTGTCTTTGGCCTTGTGCAGCCCCCAATAGCTGGTAAATAATCTCCTGCAAAGGGATGAATGTCCGTCGCTCCAGTTTGTACAGCGCTGCACGTCGAGCTAGCGCCCACTCATCGTCTGTAGGTGCTCGCTTCCCATTCATAGCAGAGTCTCCCAGTTGTCGAGGCGTGTTCGGGTCCGCCACGGTGTTAAGATGCTCCATAATGAGCTCCAGTGATCGTTCCAAGAAGAATCGATAGTTCTTTAATGCCAGAAGACTGCGAGCGTCCTGCAGAGTCGTGACGTTATGGAGTTCTTGCGGTGTTGCACCCAATGATCCCTCTCGAAGTTCCTGGTCGCTGTCTGACTCGTTTCCACTCAGTCCGGGCGCCCACGGCTCCGATAGCCGCGTCCAGGCTGACGTACCTATCGCCGCTACCGAAGAAGCGGCCGGGTGTTCATATTTCTGACGAAACGTTAACAAGAAGCTGGCTATATGTTGCCGCATAGTGAAACTCGCAAGGTACTGATCACAAGTGCGTAATAACGAACGCAACGTCGGGGACGCAGAGCTCACAGCACTCAACACTCCACCTGGCTTTGCATGTAGCGAAGCCCATAATCGCAGCACATCACCACTACCTCGAGACGCGCTCAAGTCGTCTTCTTCGTCGCTTAACTCATCAGTAACTGCACCTCCATGAGCGTGACTGATTGCACCCAAATTATCACGAAAAGAACTGCCATCAAGCGCCAACGCCTCTGCACTGAGCAGTCGACGTTGAGCTACACTCTCGCGTAAGTCAAAGTACGGGCCTGGTCTTCCCTGTGGGTGATACGAGTCTCGACACAGCAGAGCGTCTTCAATACAGTACATCCAGTTCTCTCTATCACGCAGTTGAGCCGCCTGCAAAAGCAAAGTATAGTCTGGACCCACTTGAATGGCAAAGCTGGCATCACGACCACCAGCCACATGCACATCCACATAGTGAACTCGAGTCTGTGGATGGAATAGCAGCACTTCGCCTTTAAGTTTCGTACAGGAGGAGTCAGCGTAGTACCGCAATACCGATTTTTCCAGCACGAAGTAGCGCGCTTTCCAGTTCTTACGAACGTGTCCGCGTTTACGTAGCCAGCCGCTCATAGAGTCCAGGAAGGCGTCATCGAAGGCACTTGAGGACGTACTACTGGATAAACTACTACGACCCGAACGTAAACGTCGATAACGTACCCATTTCCGTCGACGGACTCGCAGTCTTTTACCTGAAGAGCTGGCAGGGGCTGAAGACGGTATTTCTCCACCTGTTTGGGACGGAGATTGACTCAATGAGTCAATAGATCTACCTCTTGAGCGGAGTGATGGTCGAGGAGTGAAATGGGAGAAGCTGGATGCGTATTGCCAGCCGTCGACTGCATTTTTTGGGCTGTTTACGGGGATTTCCAGATGCCAGGGACTCACCCACTCCCATCTGGGGCCCGTTAAGGAGCTCCCAGAGACGGAATTCGCAGTGTTATGAGCTGCAAGCTGTCGAGCGGCCGTGGAAGCTCTCGAAGCACTTGTAGCGGATCTGCTACGCTGTTTAGTAGAGGTAACACCAGGTTTATCAGCCGATGGAGGCTCAGGAAGTGAGATATCTGGGAATGTGGAGGACGGGAACCACTCCAGCAACACGTCTTCCTCTTCTTCTCTGCTGTGTGAGCGTCGTCTTCGTCTCGTTATGGAATGACGCACTACTCGCATGTATTTATCGGGATCTAGAGGCAGTAAATGGCCTTTAGAGCCCCACCCCAGCACCATTTGATAGCGTTGGTGTTCGTACACTTCTTCGGCCACGATCACGGGCTTTTTTCTCTCTGCGCGACTGCTGGTGCGCTGATTCTGCTTCTTATTGGGCTTTTTGGGGACTGCGAGCCGTGTGGGGGCGTAGAAGCTGCTGTCGTAGAGTGACGAGGGCGGAGGGATGTCCAGAGACTCCTGTTGGGGGAGAAGCGTGTGGCCACGTAGCTCCAAGAGGCTCTTGTTGCTGTCCAGGATGCTGCTGTTGCTGTTACTGCGGAGACTCAAGAGGAAGCTGCTGGCGTCCAGACTACGCGTGGAGGAGGTCACAGAGACGCTCGAGACGGCGCCTGAGCGAGAGGAGGAGGGAGTGCACGCGACCGCCAGCCAGTAGGACGCGTCACGTGCACTCACGGGCGGCCCTGAGTCGGTAGGCGGTAGCGACGCCATCTTGCCCGCAATGGGAAGCTTGAACTGTTCTCAACTAGGTTAAACAAGAGAGCAAATGAACCAATCACAACACGAAGCGGATGTACTTGAACGGGAGGTTGATGAAGTCGTACTTAAATGAGATATTGAAGATATGTTGAAGTGGGAGTGATGGTCTTTACCGCTGCCTAAAAATAGTCGACGGCATTACTTTTTTTTTATTTTATCAAACTACTGTAGCGAAGATGACACGAGCAGCAGCTTGGAGCTCTTGCAGTCGTGCGCTTGATGAACGAATACACAAGTCTCAGTGGCAGGCTCATCGCGATCGGGTCGAGTTTATCCAGTCATCTAGTTCTGTATCAGCTCAGGCCTTTTCCTCTGCTCTTGCGGCTTCTGCACACCCTCATCGCATCCACAGCAGTCAGAAATCCTCAACCACGTCAAAACTCGATAGACGTTCAAAATCAGCGGCAAAGGCACGTCAGAGGCAAATCGATCATGACAACCTCGCTTTAATCAAGACGATCATCGAACTCGACAATGCGAATTCACGCCGAGGAACTAAAAAGAAACAACCGATTCAACCACAAGATGGAAAACACCCAAAAGCTTCGGTGTTTGCAGACAAAAACACGATCGTGGTGCCGGAACGAGCTCATTGCGATCACGAATGTCTACATCCGTTGCCAGACGTTCCACAGACACCAGCTAGTCATGTACTCTACACTCGCGCTTCAGCCACTATGAAAAATAATTTTGTCGAATACAATGCACCAACAATGATGCACTCATCGAACTCAACTTCGGCCGCGGCTCGGGTGCGATCACGAGCTCAATCAAAAATTTTACACGAGAACAAGAAGATTATTCGGCGAATCCTCAATGCTCGGACAACAGTCGATCGCGCTGCGTTGGAACGTCATGAAGAGAAGCATTTCAAACTGCGCACCATCATGTCGCGCCATCGGTTAGCTTCCAAAGCATTGCGAACCCCACACAGGCAAAGCAGAGATACTAGTGTTGCTGTCGTACCTTTGGACACCGGCACTAACCACTATGATTCAGCAATTCGCGTTGACCCCATAAGCCACCTTGCTCAGCAACCAAAACATCGTCCTTGCTCCGCCCCACAAACCGCCTCCAGATCAAGAGCTACGGCATCAATACATTCTGCAAGAATGCTTGACAACAGTGAGGCGTTGATCTCGAGAATAAGTAAGATGACGATCGATAATCAATGTGAATAAATGCATTTTGAAAAATATCAATTACGTTCGTGCATCCTTCATGCTAGCACTCCTTCATTGCTGAGAACACTCCTCATTGGGTGGATGAGATGCAGAGCCTCGTTGGACCGACGAAGCGAATTCATACAGGTGTTGGTAGGACGGCATGACCGTCACATTAGAACTGATCTTTTTTTTTTTTACTGTTCGGACATAAGCGTTGGTACATAACTTTTGAATTGCTTTCAAAAGCGGTGATTCTCGGAGTATCCGATGAAAGTTAGTTTTTTTACAGGACAAAAATCTCATATTGTCCTAATGGGTCTTGTAACGTATTGAGGAAGCTTAGTAAATGGATAAGTGAATTAATGTTTCAACACGCTAAAGGCGTAGACCTCTGTAGGTCCTCGTCCTCCACCAATTTGCTCACTCCTATTGTTTACAGACACATGTACCGCCACTATACTCCACATATTAAATTTGCTAATTGTATGTATCCCACTGCAGATCATTTCTATGATGATGGTACCAGTTTGCTCTGGTAATTATTAATGAGAGTGGTTGCTGCTCCAGACTGGTATCATAAAACAGCCAATTTGCCGCTGTTGGCAAGCATTGGTACGTAGCTTCCAGCGAGCGTTGAGCGGGTGCTGTAGTATGATTAAGGGCACTAGTGGAGATGCTACTCGATCCTCCAAACCGAGCAACATTATGATCAAGGGGAAGGAAACAGCGTTGTTGCGTTTTCGGGCGGGCCCTAAGTTGAGTCTCTGTACAGAAATAGCCGTTATTAGGCCATTAACAAGGGCATGTATTCCCTTATTAAGGACAACAGATGGCTCCCAGTCTGGAGCAGCAACACGTGCCATTATTAATACCAGTGGTACACTGATTAGTACTCGTACTTATCAGTGAATCATGGAGGTTTTGAGTA